AGAGAACACTCTGAGGAACACCCTTGATCACAAAGAACACCCTGAGGTATACCCTTGAACACAGAGAACACCCTGAGGTACACCCTCAACTAGAGAGAACACCCTGAGGTACACCCTCAACCATAGAGAACACTCTGAGGTACACCTTAGATCATAGGGAACACTCTGAGGTACACCATGGATCACAGAGAACACCCTGAGGTACCAGAGAACCACCCTTGACCACAGAACCAGCCAGACATGGTCTTGCAGGAGGCGGGGCATGCTCCAGACCAGGGATAAATATACGCTGCTGACTCAACCTTGGCCAGAAAACACAGGTGCAGAAACCAAGTATGAAGTTGGATAGAGGCTCTAACCCCATTACACCTAAAGAGCCTCTCAAAAGTTTCCTTTCCCCGCTGTTCTCAGGGTACCCGGGGGCGGATTTAACTGCCAGGAGGCATGGTAACAGTTCCTCTAAACTGGAAGCCAAGAACACTGTTTGGCTTTTCCCTCCTCCTCAGGCCACAGTGGGAGCAGGAAGCAAAAGGGGTCTTTGTATTAGAATAGCATGTGATCAAGCCTGTGTTTGAATCCCAGTTCTGGGATTTCACCTCTATGCTTCCGCTTCCTCAGCTGTAAAATCACGAGGAGCACGGAGCAGCACCCGGCACCTGAAGACACTCCAGAAGTGTCAGCCATTGTGATCATTGGGATTATTTGCTACTTTAATACTGGGACTTGGAGCAGTCCAGGGGCAATGAGAACTGGGAGGGAGAGGGGTTCAGCCCAGGGACCCCCCTGGGACACCTCCTTGTACTCCAGTATCTAGTAAAGGTTAACAGACAATCACTGTATCCTGTACAGAAAGGACCCCTCAGGGCCCAGAGCCTTTGGGAATGGAGATCAGCAATGCCCCAACGGGGAAAGACCTCAGCCACCTACGACCTGGCTGCACGTGAGGGGTTTGAGGACCAGGCATAAAGTGTCTCTCATTCTCTGGATCCACCAACCAGCTCCTGAGCAGCATGTAGGACTTTAGCCCTGTGCCCTTCTCTACAGCCACAGGTCCATTCTCATCCAGGACCTGGTGTCCATGAGGGAGGTCATCTGCTAGGCCTGCCACCCCACCACGACTTCTCCTCCAGCCCACTCTGCCTGCACCCCCTGCGACGCCCCCGCTCCCTGAGTCGAGACAAGGTGGCTGGCGTGGCCCACTAACTCCTGGGTAGGCCCTGTGAGTGCTTCACGAGCGGCCCTGCTCCTCCCCAGTTCCCCATCACTTCATCCTCATCACTCGTCCCACGGTGGCTGCACTCATCTCCCCACCACTCTGGAGTCTGTCACATTCTCTTGCGTGCCTCTCCACGTGCTGTGCCCTCTACCTGGATCCCACAACCCTGCCTTCAGCTCTCTCTGCTCTATCCTGGAAGAGCTGGCCCTGTGTGACTGAGGGGCCCCTTCCCTAGTTCCCACCACACCCAAGGGTCACCTTCATCATGATTCTGGTTCTACCACAGAGAATCCTCAGCTTTTCCTCTCTGCATCTTGAAGGGCACACCAATCTGTGTGACCGCCCCCCCCCCCAGCACCTGCCAAATGCCTGGCACAAACACACCCCTGAAGGGAGGGCATGGGTCTCACGCTTGGGTAGCCAGGGCCTGGGGAGGCTGACCACAGAAGTGCTCAACATGAACCCCCAAACTCAAATACACTGAGGACTGACAGAGGCTTCCTTTGTTAAAAGACAGCAAACTGTTAGATTTCAAAAATAACTTAAGACAAAATTTCTTTTTTATTCTTGAGCAAGAAGCCAGACATTGCCAAATCTATTTAGAGAGTTCACCAAAAGGCTGCTACCCCTGCACTGGGGGTCCCGGGCCACCGTGAGACTTCATTCAGGGGGCCAGGCAAACTGGGGGTCCTTGATTCTGGGGGTGGCTGGCCAAGGTCAGGGCTCTGGCTCTTCTGAGGGAGAGGAAAGGTCCAGGGAGGAGGCTGGCCTCTCAGGGCCTGGCCTCCACTCCAGCTTGTCCCCAGTCACTGACATTTGCCCTCAGCCTGTCAGCCCCCCGCCCCATCCAGGCCGCCTGCTTGTAGGGACTCGTTTTAATTAATGCCAGAGCTGGGCCAACCACTGGGGCTGTGACACTTGTTTGCAGGTCATCTCTTCCTAACAGGTTCTCCCTGGGAGGGGATTTGTCACTAATTGAAGCAGAGATCAGTTAATGAGGCCGCGGGCCCGGGGTTCCAGAGAACAAGGGAAAGGAAAATAAAATAAAGCCTCTTTCTTTGGAGGTTTTGTGATTTACACACACAAAAGAAAAGCAAGCAAGCTGCAGATTTTCCAAGTCAGAAACTCTGTTCCATCTGCCGGAGTTAGACCCTCACTGTGTGAAGACGTCAGGCAGAGGGACGCCGCCACCGCTGAGCCCGAGGATCGAGGCGGAGAGGGGCCTCCTGAGGCCGGCAATCAATCAGCAACCTAATTAACAAGTATTTATGGAGCAGTGCTTGCGCCCCCTCTGTGGGGGAGAAGACACAGGGCCTGTCCCTGGTTAACTTGTAATCCAGTGGAACAATGACAGGACAGGACACAGGGTGTAACTGAGTGTGTGGGAAGGACAGAAGTTTCTAGGACTTGGGGGTGGGGGACAGTTTGGGCTGGTGTGGTCAGGAAAAGCCTCTGAGCGCCCGGCAGCTAGGCAGGGAGTTGGAAGGAGAGTGTCCCCAGCACAGGCACAGTCCCTGAGGGCTGTGACAGCCCAGCGTGAGGCCCCCAGTCCTTGAGGGTAAGACCCTGGCTCTGAGGGCCTGGAGGGTCCCCAGTAACTGCAGCTTGCGCATCAGAGCCCCCACCCCACAATCTGGGCTAGCTCTGATCCTAGGAAGTGGTAGGGATGGAATGACCAAGGGCCCCTTGCGTGGGACAGTGAGGACTGGGGACGCAGAGAGCCTGGAGCGCCATGCCTGCAGGAGGAGGACGTCCCACCAGGACAGTGGTCCCCTTCACTCAAGCCCCTCCCAGTCGGGGCTGCTCAGTATTATTCCTGACGGGGCTTCCTCCCCTCAGCTCTGCCCCACCTCACCCTTCATCTCCAAGAAGGAAAATGGGATTTTCAAGCTGCTGAACTAGGTAGGGCCATCAGCTCCTCTTGTCATGAAGAGCAAGGAGACAACAGAGCCCCTTTCCCTCTCTCACAAGAGCCCTGACCTCTGCCAGTAGCCCCCCAGAATCAGGGACTGCCAATTTGTATGACCCCAAATGAAGTCTCTGCTGGGTTGAGGACCACTAGGGTGGGGTTTGCGGTCTCTTGGCAAGTCATCTGAATAGATTTGGCAATGTCGGGCTTCTTGCTTGGGGTAAGACAAGGATTCGGGGAGGGAGCTCGATCTTGGGCACGAACGGGGATCACTCGCCAACAGGGCATTTGGAGAGGATGTGGTCTACATGGGAGCAGAGTAAATGAAGCCATCTCAAAACAATCCCAAATCCCTGCTTTCCCAGAACAGTGAAATCAATGATGGTGTATGGTACAGAGGTTTAGAACATAGTTGTGAACAATTATTATACTTAATGACATGAGAAAGATGAGGAAAGTGGGATTTACAAAAAGATTATTATATGTGAATTCTTTCATTATATGTGAATTTTTAAATTTGCATTTTCTAAGTGTTTTCTTACCAACTGTGTGTATTTATTGTGTGATGAATAAAATAACAAAGTTGTGAAGTGACTTTTACCCTCTGGAGTCAGCTATAGGAGACCACCCGGCCAGGATCTAGACAGTACAGATGGAGGGGCAAAGTGGGTTCAAGAGTGGGATGAGTGTAGCTTCCACTCTGGTTCTGGCCCAGGGCCCTCGTTGCATCACCTGCACTCAGCCCTCATCTGGGATCCAGCCTTATGCTCACATAGTCAGTTTACAAACCTAGCCTACTTCATAGCTGCTCTATTCTCAAAGTCCTGTGGGATTCAAATGAACCTATCGCCCCCATCTTGAGGAGCTTATAGGCCTCCGGGAGGAAGTGGACATGTGACCACTTGACCAAGGCCTCCGAGAGGGGACAACAGTGTCCTGGGAGCTCAGGCAGAGAGCAAAGGGGAGCCAGCATGTGGCCCAGCTTTACAACTGTCCCTGAGCCCCTCACTTCCTGCATCAGCCATATTACCAAGAGTGACGAGCAGCTCCTCTGGGGACGGTGCTGGGTAAACATGGACCCCTCTAGCAACAGACCCCTGCCCTTAGCGGAAGTATGCAGCCCTTTGCGTCACCCATGGGCACCACCTCACCTCCCCACCTGCTCTCCAAAATCTGCAGCACTCTCTCTATTCAAGTTCATGCCGATTAAAGTGTCACCAGAATCTTCTCTGCCTAGAAAGCCTGCCCTGGCAGCCCACCCACACGACCCTCTGTCTCCCACACCCTCGCCTGGCCCTGACCTCAGACAGGTCTGGCCGGAGCTGCTGAGGAGAGGGGGCAGCCGCAGGGCAGCAGGACAAAAAAGTGGGGACAGAGTTACTCACGGCGATGGAGACGGCACTGATGACAGCTCCCAGGTAGCCCTGGATGAACTTGGACGCAGGAGAAGGCTGGAAGGCAGAGAAAGAGAGTTCCAGGCCCACTGGGTGCCCAAAGCTGCCATACCCCGCCCTTGCCAACAGCCCCAGCCTGCAAGAGACGTTCCCGCCCACCACCAGGTGAGAAGGCAAAGGTCCCTCTGGAAGCCGAAGGGATCCGGGCCTCCCTCAGCACAGCTCCAGACATGGAAATACAGGGCAGCAATGTCCCGGGAGAAGCCAACGGGCCCGCTGCACTTTCGCCCTGTTCTCAAGAGCTCACTGGCAGACCCTGCTGGCTGGAGGTAGACAACGGCAAGGGCCAAAATGGGTCATTCATGGCTGGGGCAAGCAGAACCAGGGGAGGAGGACCGAATGCTGGACGTGGGCTGCTGGTACCTGGAGGACCGTGCAGGTGGAAATGGCTGGCTACACCTGGCTGGCTCTCCCGCGCCTTGTCAACCCAGGCGGCAACCGGGCTGCCAGGCCAACAGATGACAGTTGCTCAACGTTTCTACAGACATGCAACCCAGGTTGCAACGGATCACATTGAGAAGGAGCTGAGGAACTTGCCTTTAACTGTGCTCTGACGGCAGTTTTGGAGATGTTGGTTTAAGGCAAACGGGAGCCATCCAAGCAGGGGTATACACATGTGGGTCACATGCGTGAGATGCGGATGGAAGGGGGGCGTCCTCAGAGTTTCAGGCCGGGAAGTTTCTACCACCCAGGCCAGCCCCTAGCTCTCCCCTCTCTGCTCCAGGGTTAGAGAATGCCCACACCTTCCCCTCCCCAAACGACAGCCCCACAAGGGGACCTGGACTCCTTCTCCCCTCTCCCTGCCTTGAGACAGAAGGGCAGGACACACAGCCTTGCCAGTGAAGCAGGGGCCCAGCTCCTTCCTAGAAGAGGGAAGGGCAACAGGGCCTCCACCGAGAGCTTGCCCCAGGAGCACAGGGGACTTGGGGGGAGGACGGGCCGGTCCCCTCAGACCCCTCACCCCTCAAGAGCAGCCCTCAGCTCTACAGCCGACCCTCTGGGGGCACCAAGACAGCTTCCAGGCAAGCTTGGAGGAAGCTTTAGGGGAATTTGGTCCCCATGTGGCTGATGCCATCCTAATCCAAGATCTGGGGATAAGAGCTGCCCAAGGAGGATGCTGAAGCCAACAGAGCTCCTCCCTCTCACCGCCTCCATTCTATTTCCATTTTATGGGCCTTCTTCACTTCATGTGAACAGCCCCTCCCTGGCGGGGCCCTTCTAGAAGGGTTGGCAGTTTAAATCAGGTGCTTAGAGGAGCACAAGGCTTAACTCAGAGGAAGCAGCCCCCCATGGTGGCACGCCACACTGGAGGGAGGATGAGGGTCCCCCCGGCCCGCTCCCTGCCACTGTACGGTGGTCTGCGGCGCTCACCTTGGTAGCGTTGCGGTTTGCATAGTTGACACAGGCGTTATGGCTCTGGTTCAGCCACTGAAAGGCAACGGGGGTGGGGAGGTGGGAGGGAAGAGACGTCAGGGAAGGGGTGGACGCCGGGCCTGGACCACAGGTGGCCACAGCCTCCAGAAAGACACGGGATGCTGTCTCCAGCTCACAGGTGGTTCTGTCCATCCCACAGGTCAGCAGGACCAGCTGTTCCCGTTTGCCCGGCATTAAGCCAGCGGCAGCATGGAAACCCCGGGAAACCCCTCCGTTGCTGGCAAACCAAGATAGGGGTCCTGCCCCTGCGGGCAGTTCTTCCCAACCTGGGGACCGTCCCCTTTCCCGGAATCATGGCGCTCACGGCCCCAAACGGGCCTCACTGCCTTTGACACCATCCTTGTTATATTACTTATTGGATAGAAAGTGGACATTTAGCCCCTGGAATTACTAACAGCCCTGAACTTCTTTCAAAAATATCCCAGCCCAGTGTCTTGCACCAAACACTCACTACCTTGGGGGTTGGTGATGGATTTACCTTCCCCGCAGACCTGAGTGAGGCTTATATCGAAACAAGACTGAGGGCCTCGAGGTCACAGGCCTTGGGACAAACAGCCAAGGAGCAGGAGGGAGCCACAAACAAGCCCTCATCCCCTTGTGCAAAAATGAGAGTCACATAAAATGGCCTAGGTGTGGGCTGCTGGGACCTGCTCAGCAGAATCCGAAGTCCCGGGCTTCCCCCAGCCGCTACAGGGCCAGGGAGGGGCGGGAAGTGGGGTGACTTTCCCTGAGGGGCCTGGAGGGGAGACACTGGGACAGGGAGTTCTAACGAGCACTTGTTGGGTCCTTCCTTCGGGAGCCCTCTGTTGCCAGGGACTGTTACCTGCCAGAAGACAGTGGATGCCAGTGTCTGGTTGGGCAAGAGAAGACCAACTACCTGCGAGAGAGAAAGAGAGGAAAGCCTGGATAAAGCAAAGGAAACATCCTACACGTTTGCCAAGAAAAATGACACAGCCACGAACCAAAGTAAACTAGATCTGTACAAACTGAGGTGGATGATGTATACACATAAACTGCTGGCCACAGTGGGATGGTGCCAGCTGCACGTGAACCAGGCTGCGGAATTCTATCACAGCACAATCCCACTTTTGTAAAGAAATCACATCGTATGTATAACCATATACACAAACACAGGCATGTACATATCTCCATGCAAAAACCTACAGCCCAGCGTGTAGATGTCTCTGGAGGTCGGGTGACACAGTACTTTCTCACAGTCTTCTCGAATATGCCTATATTCTTTTAAACATTGGACATGTATTATTTCCATAACTGGGGGCGGGGGACAATACAAATAAAGAAGCAAACCAAAGGAACATCTTTACTTCCCCTCAGCTAACCCGGCTCTTTCATATCCTGGCCACCCCATAGGATTTTTGTGAGGATTAAAATATGATGATAGGGGGCGTCTGGGTAGCTCAGTCGTTAAGCATCTGCCTTCGGCTCAGGTCATGATCCCAGGGTCCTGGGATCAAGCCCCGCATCGGGCTCCCTGCTCCGCGGGAAGCCTGCTTCTCCCTCTCCCGCTCCCCCTGCTTGTGTTCCCCTCTCTCGTTGTGTCTCTGTCAAATAAATAAATAAAAATATTTTAAAAATTTTTTAAAAATAAAATATGATGATAGGGGGGTGCCTGGGCAGCTCAGTCGTTAAGCATCTGCCTTCGGCTCAGGTCATGATCCCAGGGTCCTGGGATCAAGCCCCGCATCGGGCTCCCTACTCCGCGGGAAGCCTGCTTCTCCTTCTCCCACTCCCCTTGCTTGTGTTCCTGCTCTTGCTATCTCTCTCTCTGTCAAATAAATAAAATCTTTAAGAATATATATATATATGATGATAAGGATGCCTGGGTGGCTCAGTCAGTGAAGCGGCTGCCTTCGGCTCAGGTCACGACCTTGGGGTCCTGGGATGGAGCTCCTGCTGCGGGCTCCCTGATCAGTGGGGAGTCTGTTTCTCCTTCTGCCCCTCCCCCAGCTCATGCTCTCTCTCTCAAATAAATAAATAAAACCTTTATAAAAAGTAAAATAAAATACGATGATAAAAATTATTTTTTAAAAAGATTTTATTTATTTGTCAGAGAGACAGAGAGAGTGAGAGAGCGAGCACAAGCAGTGGGGAGCGGCAGAGGCAGAGGGAGAAGCAGGCTCCCCACTGAGCAAGGAGCCCGATGTGGGACTTGATCCCAGGGCTCTGGGATCATGACCTGGGTGGAAAGCCGACGCTTAACCAGCTGAGACACCCAGGCATCCCAGATAAAAATCATTTTGAGTACCGTTAGCTAGGTGTGGAGTCATTATTCCCAAAGCCCGAATATCACCTAAGAGCTAGACTTGCTGACTTTGCTTTTTTGGTTTAAGTCAAGATTAATTGTCTCATCTTGACAACTGGGCAAACTTTGGACTTCAGGGATCCATGTGTCTCTTTTGAATGCTTGTGTGCAAAATAATGTCTACCAAATACCACTGCATATGGGAAAAATGTGCACAACCATCCACATATTGACTTATTTATTATTCCTGTAGATAAAATGGCTCTTTGGCAAGAATTTCTGTAAGGAGTAAGTATAAACATTCAATACTATGCAGTAAATCAAATTCTAGACATCCTCAGCAGCATTTGTAAATCATGTTTTAAACATTAAAATGTTTTAAGACAGCAAACACACACACACATTTATATTTATTGGCCCGTATCAGTTTGAATAAAATTATGTAATGCAAAGCCATTCCATAGCTCCAATGAGGAATTATCTTATGAGATTTTTCTCCTCAAAATGAGATCCCAGTCTGATTTTTCTCTGCAGCAACAGCTTAGGGCACTGGAGTGAGAATCAGGAGAGCTTGGAGCTCAGCCTCAGCCCCATCCCTGTGTGATCTCCAGCCAACAGTGTCTCCAACAGAATACAGTCCCCTTGAGGCTCTAGCTTTCTTACCTATAGAGTGAAGGGGTTGAGCTTGGAGGTCCTACCTTGGTTTAAAATTCTATTCTTGGGTTCCAAGTAGCAGGTATGAAGTCAATTGAGATTGCCCCATTGCCTGTAAAGGGAATCCCTCCTCACCCAGCCTGGAAGAGAAATATCACTGGGAACCCAGGGCCTCATCCTAGTCAGGCTCCAGCCACCAGGAACCAGACCACAGAGAGGAAGCTGAGCCTACAGAGGCCTGAAATTGGGAGTGGACAATGCGGTCCAGCGAGTGTGTGTGTGCGCGTGCATGCACGTGTGGACGTCTGTGTACACTTGTGCATGTCTGACCGCCTCCCAAAGCCTGGAGAGATAAAAGCTGTTCTTCACTGTTGGGAACTCAGCAATTCATTCCCCTAATCTGTTGGTTTATAGAGCATGGGTATATTATGGACCACATTGTCCTCTCCTCCTCAATCCCCCTTACACCCCCTGCACTGAGCTTGGGCCATCAGGAGTGTCATAAGATACAGCCCCTTGGGACTCGCTGTATTTACCAGACAACCATTGTCCAGGACACTCATTGCTCCTTCCATCGCAGAGTCCCATTTATGAATCCTCCTGGAGGAAATTTTTCTAGTCTTGGGCTCAGAAATTTATACTTCTGAGCATCTGGTTTGCATCTGTCTTGCAGACATTGAGCATTTAACCGTGTCTCTCTTTGCACTGACTGTCAAGGAGCTCAGGCCAGATCTCTACGGATCACATCTGTCCAGTGCACAGACCCTCACTGAATGCATTTTGTGCCCAAACTTCGCTCCTAGCTTCTTCCCTTTCCTAAACTTCTCTCTCATTTTTGTCTTCACTTGTATTTTCTGGTGGCAGGCATTTTTTTTAATGTGACATCAAGTCTCTTCCAGAACAAACCACAGCCCTAAACTGAAATAGTACCCAGGCTGTGTAACACACACACACACACACACACACACACACACACACACCTTGTAACCTGTGAGCTTTTCTCCTTGTTGACCAAACCTGGCCAGCTTCCTGTCCCAGCCTCCTGCTCTAACCATGCTGAGAGCCTCTGACTCCTTATGTGTTCTTAAAGAGATTGATTGATTGATTGATTTTGCTAAGCATTTCCCCTATGTCACTTACCCATGATCCTTATCAGAACTCTGGGGCTCAGACAAAATAAAGATCACTTTCTATATTTTACAAATGGGGAAACTGAGGCTTAGAGAAATTCTGTGATTTGCCCGAGGCTTCCCAGCAAGCTAGAGAAAGTCAGAAAGGTCTCCTGATTCCTGGTTTGAGGGCTCCAACTCTCTGATTTGAGGGGTTCCTTTTCCAGCTCATTCACCTGAGCACAAAGGAAGAGTCACACTCTATCACTCCTGCCCATTTCCAAGCATCTTCTATGCACCAGGTTCCATGGTACTCTCAATGGAGAATACGGGAAGAGAGGAATATATGGCATCTAACCACAATAAACACAAAGACCAAACAGGAAAATGTATGAGAAGATCCATTATAATACCTGGACATGGAAATGACCAGACGGTTTCATCAGGTACTTGGGTATGTCAAGTTGATAAATGCGAACACCCAAACCAGCGCTCAGGAAGGAGAGATCAGTGTGCTCTGGCTGCCGAAGGAGGTGGTGGGATGGAGCTGAGATGTGCATGCGTGTGAACGCATGTGCGTGGAGGGGGGCAAGAGTGCACGCTCACGGGAGCAGGAACAGTCGGGAGACTGGTCACATTAAAGGAGGTTTGAAGAATCAGCAAACCTGGGGAGGGTGAGGTTAGAGGCAGTGGAAAGCCATGCTGCATTCTGCCCCCAAACGGGGCCCAAGGGAACCATCTGAGGCTGAGGCAAGGGGAACAGGGATCCCACTTTGCAGGTCCTACAGTCAGGCTGCTGGGGCCAGGAGCACATGGATGCCAGCCCCATTCCCTATTAGGCAACACGCAGCACCATCTGCACAGTCCCAGGAGCAAGAGCAGATATTTTATAACTTCCTTTTTTCTTTTTAAGTCGAAATTAAAAATAAATGTTCCTTCAGTTCTCAGATGTATATCTCTGGTGCAACCTGCCCACATTCCCCCACGCTGCCCTTTCCAGAACATGGCAGGGGAAAGGAGGAAAGAGATGGATAGAGAGAGGGAGCCAGTCCACCCGGCTTCAATGCCAGTGGATTGCACCTCTTCCAAGAGGGAAATGCTTCAGGCGTGGCCGCGCAGACGGGTGGAGAGAGCCCAGAAAGCGGCTGGTACCAGGGAGAGTGGAAGGAGAGCCAACAGCCAGAATTTCCAGCCCAGCCTCCACCCTCTCTTGCTGCAGGACCTTGGCCAAATCGCACATCCTATCTTTGCTCCCATTTATAGTTCATAACACGGCTGGGGTCCCCTCCGCAGCTCCCACCCCCTGGCAGCTGTCCTCTTCACACATCTGTCCACTTTTGCTGCCCACTTCCCTTCAAGTGGCCGGCCATGGGCCCTGGTGATTAACATGCAGGCTCTGGTCACAGGAAGAGCTGCACCCAAATCCTGGTTCTAGTATTTACCAGCCATGTGACCGCGCACAAGTCACTTGAGCTCTTTGTGCCTCCATTTTTTTTTTTTCATCTGTTAAATGGCGACCACCTTGGTACCTCTCTGGATGGCCTTGCGGGGAGGCAGGGCATGGAAAGAATTTGGTCCAGTGTCTGGCGTGCAGCAAGTACTCATTAGGTGTAAAGTGTCAGTATCGTTCCTCTCCTCCTATCTCACTCTTTTCTAGTTTTTGCTGATCTCTCCTTTCTCTGAACTCTACAATCTGCATTACATAATTGAGCATCATCTTGCCCCCATCTTGTCTTTGAACACAAGCCTCATCACTCAAAGGATAGCGAGCTCCTGAAGGTAGAATCAGGGCTTATCTCTCTGATGTCCCCCAAAGTACTCAGCACCAAGTTGCTCCCACACTGTGTTGTA